TTGTATGAGATTGTCAATGTTATTCCTTATGTACATTACTAATATAAAAGCCATCACGCACATGCATATGTGCGTGAGTGCGTGAATTCCTTATAACTCCTGCAATTTTTGTCTAATCTAGATGAAATTTTGGTTATATTTGTTTCATGTTCTGATGGAAAGAATAGACTGCTTATTTTGTGGAAATATTAGCTATAGAATAAACGTTTTATCGATTTTGGATCAGTGGTCGCACTTACGTTGCAGTGATGTCAGTGACCATGTGATGTTCATGCTTGATGAGGAAATATCCCTTAAGTTGCATTTTAAAATATTTTGGAAAATAGTGTATTTTAAACTTAATTTATTAAGTTTAAAAAAAAGATAGCCTTATCGTGTCACTTCTATAACAAATTAAAAAAAAAATCTTTCCATAGTGCACGTGACATTCTATTATCCAATCCGAAGTAACAATCTAATGAGCTCATTATTTAGAAAGTGTTATTGCTCATCTAACTAACGTACATACAATTCATCTTTGTTTTATCAACTTGGAATTAAGAAATGGCTTTATCAAGGGCTACAGAAACAGCATCACAATGTTGATCATCAAAACAATATTACAGTGTTTATTACTAAAGGAAGACATTAAGGATATCTTTTAAAAGATAATAGTGTGTTTACTCAGAATGTAGTGTATAAAGAAATTTTATAAAGATTTTAATATTGTTTTAATATAAAGGCCTAAATCTGTTTGTGTAAGTGACTTAATTCCTATAATTCCTATTGTATTTGTCCACTCCAGGTGAAATTTTGTTTTGTTGCTCTTTGTTATAACAGATAGTATAAACTACTCAATCAGTAGAAATATTAGCAACTCTTGATTTTCTTGAAATCTCTACTCTTCTCAATTCTTCAATCTCTACATTTTCATAAAAAGTATTCCATCATGCTTGTCAGGGGAATTTCTAGTGGCATTATAATGTTAAATATTTATTTATATCAATTGAAATAAAAATAAAAATACATATTTTAAATATCTATTCATAGATACACAATTCAAATATTTATTCATCACTAGAGGCAGTTCTATACAAAGGTAAAAGAAGCAATGCTTAAAGCCTTATGCTTGAAGGGACCTTACAAATTTGGTAATACATCTTAATAGTTAAATTATCAAATTAATAATTACTGCAAATATAATTGTACCAGTATCTGTTGCATCTGCAGAACAATCACTTTCAAAGTTAAAATTGATTTAAGAACTACCTCCAATTGACAATGTGTCAAAAGAATCTTTTTTCACTTTTGATCTGGTTCATTGAAAGAGATATTACTGTAAAACTAGAATTTTCTACACTGTATTTGATGAATTCATCATTGCTAAAAGCAGGAGAGCAGTTTTGTAGATGAATTTCTATACATCTAATTGAATTTTGCAATTCATTGTAAAATGATTATACACATTTTTATTACTTTTAAATGTGTTCTACTGCCTGTTTCTATATTAAAATTGTTCATATTTTTGTAGACCTAAATAAATGCACCTTCTATCTCCATCACACTTTTAATGAATCTCAAAAATAAATTTTGCTTAGAGTTTCACAAATTCTAGGGCTGTCTCTGTTTATCACATTTAATGTTTTGTGTCAAAATGTGAAATGAATTGTGTCATTTATCTACAGATAGTTAGTGTAAAATAATTTATGTAATTTTTAATTTTTAACTGTAAAAGATCAAAGTATTGTTTTGAATAATAAAATATAATTGATAAAAATAATAATTGTGAAAATTTAAAGTAGTTGTCTGTTCAAATAATTTAAATATAATTTAAATATTTTATAAAAAGGAGATAAGTTTCTTCCCAGTAACAAGACTTGCCTTTATTACAATAAACATTTATATTATTATTTAAATATTTTTGCTGTTTTAAAAATTAATTATAATTTAACAAAATGTTGTGCAGATATATTCATTATATATTTTAAAATAAAGATGATTTATAATGTATCTAATACTATGAAAAATTATAGATGATATTAAAAGTTACATAATAAATATTTTATTTAATAAAAAAGTGAATACACAAATATTTAATTTAGTTATAATATGCTGATTAGAAGGTTTCAATGGCATAAATACTTTTTTATAATTATGCAATATGTAATTGAAGCATTTCAGATTTAAATGTATAATTTTCATGGAAAACTATTAGTGAAACTGTCATTTCAAAATGCCGCTTCATATGGGTAGGATTTTAATGCATTTAATAAATTCAATTTTTCTTATTTAAATTCAAATTACATAGTTGTTGCATCACTTGTAATTTATTCAAATTGATAGATAGCATTAAATTTGATACTATGTTTTCTACTGTAAATTACACTGCTAAATTATGAAAGATGGAAAAGGTAACTGTTGAATAGGAAACTGCAAAATTAACTCAATATCCAGTTGGAAGAATTAATCTGACATGACAATTTCCAAAGTAAGTTGAAATTGAATGATCACTGTCTATAAATATGATTGCTTGTGAGACACATCAGATGTGGTGTAATATTTTCCATAGGAAGAGGAAATTTTTCAATAAATTATGAATAAAAATAAAAAAGAATAGTCAAAATATGTTAGGAAACTAATTTATTACTGTAAAATAATGTTTGTTCTATTTGTGTGTTTTTAATCATTAAGTTTTTGTAGTTTTGTTTTATTTCATTAGTTTAGAAACTAAATTTTTACATGACTGATCTTTTATAATTTAATATAATAATATCTAACATTCTAATTTAATATTATTCAATTTGATTACAGTTATTGGTATTTACATATTACAATTTACATAAATTATAAAAATTATTAGACTAAGTATTTTTTTAATGAGATCTTATTTCAAGGAAAATTAAAATATAGTGTAAATAATGAAATTATGTTTTGCAAACAAAATAGAAATAACTGTGAGAATTAAATGTGAACTTTTTGTTGTGCTCTGTTATATGAATTATTGTTCTAGTTTGTATATTTGCATAATTATGAAAATATGTTATTTTGCATACAACTTCATTTAGTAATAGTGGCAACTTTATTCAATTTAAAGGCATAATTTCTAAACATGGTTAAAAGATCTAAACAAATTATTTAAATGAATAATTGAATTATATTTGCAAATAAATAATATTTTAAAATTTTCTCATAACTATTTTATGTTTAATATTTATTACATTGTTCATATTGTTGAATGTAATCATATATTCAACAATCTGTTATTCTGATCAGACTTTATAAGGACTTTTATTACATTATAAATAGTAAGAACTTTCGATACATATTCTTTGTTGTAGGAAGTTTGGTCAATTTTAATCAAATTTATAAATCTTTTCTCAATTTAGTTGAAAGAGTAAAACATTTGAATTAAATGTCTGTGGATGTATTTTATAATACATTTTTTGTACTATTTATGATACCATTTGCATATTTAAAACTTTACTAAAATAAAATCTTTTACTATCTTAGAAAATTTGTTTTGTTTACAATTGCATATATTGAATAATAGGCATATATAATTATGATATACAGTACAATATAATATATGTAATAATATTATTTTATATTATATGTTAAATGTATCAGANTTTTTTTGTTTTTGACTGGAACATTTTGCTAAAAAGTAAATGAAAATTGATTCAAAGAAGCAGAATTCAGATTAGCAAGTGCACTGTATTCTGAGTCATACATGTTTTTGTAGGAGTGGATTCATAGATGCACCCAATCTGATAAAAAATATTACTATTAAATTATTCATAGAAAGAATTAGATCAAAGTATTTTTCCTATTTATTATTTTTATCAATTTATGATTTATACTTAACTAAAAAAATATCATTTTATTATTTTCAAATGATATCAGTTGATATTGCTGAAGTGGTTTTTGGAGAGTTTCAAATAATAAATGATATCTCATTATTTGGTTATCTGTTGTTGAAATAATTTCAAATGACCAAATAATAACAAGTGATATTATTTTATATTATATGTTAAATGTATCAGAATTTCATTTTAATAAAATATAATTGCGTTATATTTTATTAAGAAATTATTGGAGAATTGACTTTTGATACAAATTAGTTAAACTAAGAAACAACAGTTACCATCCTTCCATTGTGATTTTGATTTAATTATGTAGTGTCGAAAATTTTAGTTTAAAGTTTAATTCAGACAACTCATACTATATACATAAGTCTTTTTCTGCTTTCTTTATGTCTTACAGCAACCTTTTATTTTCATTTCATCTTCATAACTTTTTCAAGGGTGGTAGAAAATTCTTATAATTTATTCTATAATGAATTTCATAATAAAAATACTCAGTGTATGCTGTAACAGTCAGATTTACTCCTGCATTGAAAGGTTAACCTAACCTATATTATACAATAGTCTTATACAGAAATGATATTATGATTGTGTTTTTGCAAATGGTGAAAACAGTTTGTGTATATCATTTCTGTACAATACAAAGTATAAAGTATACTACTTTCTGTACAAAGTATTTCTGTACAAAGTATAATACTCAAGTAAAAATCTTAACTTTTAATACATTAATTCCTTAAATCTTTCACAAAAATTTAAAATTCATGATTTGTTTGGTTTACAGTTCTAATATATTGTATTATAAATCAAAGTTATATACTATTTAATATACATAATATAAAATAACAATAGAATATTATTATTTTTTCTTTTAATATATACTGTGTTCAAGAGCAAAAAATTTATCATAAAACTTTTAATTTTAAGAAACTTACTTTATTTAAGTAAGAATATAAAATAATTTTCATTATTTAAGATAATGTTCTTATTGTCATATGTTATGATTAATCTTGTAGAAAAAGATTTATTTTTGGAAGCATACCATACTTAAAAATTAATCATATTAATGAAAAGTTATCATTATGGCTTAATTATTGAATATTAATTTAAATAAAATCAACAAAATAATTTTTCCATTTTGTTTTTTAATTTTTTATGCAGACATTTGTTGCTACCCTCAGGAGCAATACAGATAATTGGTGTGACTGAAACAGATGCTGGCAATTATCGCTGTGTTGCTGCAAATGTTGCACGAGTACGATATAGTAATGAAGCTTTACTTACAGTGTCCACAGGTAAGATGACAAAATAAAATTTGTTATAATATTCATATAATTAACTAAAATATTAAACAAATCCAATAAATTTATTTGAATATTCTGTACAAAATAATAGACAAACAATATTTAGTTATAATATTTATAGCATATTTAACTAATTTATCAATTTTTTTTCATAAACTAATAAGTGATTGATTAAAATTAAAACATACTATATCAAGATATTCAAATTTTAGATGCCAAGATACCAGAAGTTCCTTATTTCCTAAGTCCACCCTTCCAACAAGTAACAGTATTGACAAAAGAAGATGCAGTATTGGAATGTATGGTGAATGGTTATTTTTCACCAGAAATTAAATGGATAAGAGGAGAAGGTTAAAATTATTTATCATTTTATTGTATATTATTTGTTTTACATTTATTGTCATTAAATTTGATTATTATATTGAAATATATAAGGTTTGTCCAAATGAAAAGTGGACACACATCAGAACTGGCAAACATTTATTGGAAATCTAAAAGAAATTTCCATGTTTGTTTAGGCAAAGTTCCTAGTGTCTCACAAGCAGATTGATGCCCTTGCATAGAATTCTGGTGGCTGCTGGTAAAAAAATTCTTCGGCCCTATCTTTCACCTCATTGTCTGACCTGAATCTTTATCCTTGTGTAGCTTTCTTGAGAGGTCTGAAAATGTGAAAGTTGTAGTGCAAGTTGTAACTTGTCTGTTTCTTCTGATTATGTCGTCCACAGTAGCAATTGATGTAGTGAATATTACAGTGTGTGCCAGACCTGGTTTTGGTTTATCTTGAATTGACTTGCGGCTTTCTCTGTAACTCTTGCACCAATTATTTATTGCTATTTTTCCTAAACAATGTTTACCATAAACATGCTTCATTCCTTTATAGATGTTGGCACTCCTATTCTCTTCAGTCACTAAAAACTGAACTACTACCCATTGTTCATTTCTGGATGCTTCTATTGTAACTAACTTAACATTAATCTGTCAATTACTGGAGATAAAATCAGTTTTGCCAATACTTTATTGGCAATAATTGGTAGGCCACCTTACAAGCAGGTAAGCTTGTAAGGTGGCCTACCAATTGCTACTTTGCATGATGAAAAAAGACGTGTCCACTTTTCAATTGGGCAATTCTTATATATATAATCTGATAGTTTTTTCAATTTGTTTTGATATAACTGAACAGGTTTAACTGTAGAAGGAAGATTGATATATTGGAAATTCAAAGAAATAATAATTTATCAAATTTAAAAGAAATCAAAAATCAGAGTTATTAAAATTAAAAACACAATGATAATTTGTATACATTATAATTAATGTATGCCTTAAAGTTGTTTTTGCTTAGGTAAATATGCAATAATTAAGAAATGTTTAGAAGTTAATGTTTATTTTCATTATAAAAATGAAAATAAAATACAAAAGAATAGTTTAATGAATACTTTTTTAATAATAAATTGTTTTTTTTTTAATATACAGTACATTATAATATAAAATATTTATGCCTATAAATTATAAATCAAAATGTAGTGTATTAAATCTTTCATATTTTCTACTGTTGATTGCCAACAGATTTATGTCAATTTACCAAATCAATATTGATATTATATATAAAATTAAGAAATCCATTTTGGCATTATGTTATTTAAAGAAAACTATTGATTTTAAAATATCAATATTAAATAAAAATGTCTTGTAAATCACTGTGTAATTTATTAAATGCATTTTAACTAAATGATAAAAAATCTATTTATATTTTAATAAAACTTAAAATGTTAGCTTATATTAATGAAAGGGTCATATAAAGAAGAGTATAATTATCATTTCAGTTATGAATTAAGCAAGCTATATTATAAAATGGTTTTTGACTGTTGATTGCCGTTATAGAAAATATAAACTTTGTAAATCATTGAAACAGATAATGTTCAAATGTTACACAAGATTGTGTTTTCTACAATGGCAGTCAATAACAAAAAATTATATCAACTTTTTAAATCTCAAGTTAGTTTTTGATATTAAAGCAACAGATATTTTTCTTACAAAATAAAATTTTATCATTATAATTAGACAATTTATTATTATTATATTAAGAATTTAGGTTACTTTTAATTGTCATCGAATTAGCACATCTTTCATTATGTTTTAATCTAAAAAATCTAGTTTAACAACTATTTAGTATACAGGTAACCCTTGTATAACATGGGAGTTATGTTCCAAAAAATTGCCGTGTTATGTGAATCTGTGTTATACGAAACAAAGAACTAGTGTGAAAAGAGGGGTTAGGTTCCAAAAATTAAAAAAACATGCTGTTAAATCCTTATTTAAATCAGATTTATTATTTATTTTTTTCATAGGTAAAATACTTATTTATTATTTAAGTAAATATTTTACCAGAGGATTATTCATCCTATATGATGATCTCAGCATGAGCATCATCAACTGGTAACAGTTTTTGGGTGTATTCATTAATAGTGGTTGCTCTGCAACGGGAGTGCACTGCTGTTTGTAGGCATTTAGAAACAATGGTGGCGACACCCGCACTATTGATAGTATCGTGATGGAGGAATCTATAATTCTAAAATGAGCTTTTAGAGGCAAAAGAAGGGTCCCAATTGTAAAATTTAACCATTAAATGGATTATTTGTTGAAAGAGCATTCAAAATAGCCACAAAAAAAATTAGAATGCTCGCGTGGAGGTATAAAAGAATGCACCCTTTATTACATTTCATGTTGTATGAGGATTTTACCCAATTCCCAAACCGTGTTAGAGTGATCCCGTGCTATAAAAGCACCATGTTATATGGGGATGTTCCCAATTCTCGAACTGTGTTAGAGTGAATCCATGCTATGGAAGTATCGTGTTATACCTGTATATGCTTAAGGTTTGAATACAATGTATATATAATAATTATTTTTAGTACACATTTTATTATATTAATATTAAACATACTTTTCACAGAATTTATTCCAAAACACATGTAATTTATTCTTAACTATTCAGAATAATAAAAAATTTTGTTGTAAATTCTAAAAATTAATAAAATAATTTCTAGATTAAAACGAAGTAAAACTACTCTCTCTTATCTGACTTTGAGTGATTTATTTTAGCAGACAAAGAAATAAATACTAAACTTTAACTTTAGAAATACTAAACTTTAACTTTAATTGCCAATAACTTCATGTTCATAAAATCCAAATGCATTTTGCTTACAATAAAGCCTCATCAGTGGACATAATGAACTTTAACAATTTCTGTTCCTTTTATACTGTGTGATTTTTTTTCCCAGCATGCATCTACATTTATCCTGGTATTCAGATTTATTACATTTGCATATGCTATGATACAAAAATGTTCTATTATTCTTCTTTTAAAACAATTTTTAACTTTATATAATATTTTAACATTATTTCTATCTACTTTACAATTAAATTTATTACAATGTTGACACCATGGTGATTCTTGTCTTTTTAATCTAATAGCAGCTTCATGTTCTTTTAATCTTGTCTCCAACTTCCTTCCTGTTTCACCTATATAAAGTTTCGGTCTTGGACAAGTACATGATAGCTTGTAAATGACACCTGCAACTTTAAGTTGGTTTTTGGATGTATTCTGGTCTTGGATGTATTAATTATATTCATCATCACATTTTTTTGTTCTGCCACTATACACATAGAAAATTTCTTGAAAATTGGTTTATATTTTTCAAATAAATTATTTATATTATGGAACTTAGCATATGAATTATTTGTTATTTGATTTTTAACTTTATATCTATGATTTATATAATATGAAAAACTTTTCTACAGACAAATCAGTACCAAAACAAACACTGATACACAGCACAGCGGCACACCAACAGAAGAAGAACTCACAACTTATTGGTCTTCTCTTTGGTCCAATGCTGTTACACACAATGCTGATGCAAGCTGGATCAAGGAGTAGAATAGAAACTTGCACACCATACCAACTATGCCTTGTGCTGAAATAAACTTACACGACATTCGCTACGCTGTTAACAGAACACACAACTGGAAGACACCTGGTGTAGACAACATTCACAATTTCTGGTACAAAAAGTTTACATCACTGAACCAAGAACTAGCTAAACATCTAACACACATCATCAATCCACAAGACATGCCAAAATTTCTTACTCAGGGCATCACCTACATGAAACCTAAAAACAACAACACTACAGACCCCACACAATACAGACCAATTAATTAATTGTCTTCCAACACTACAATTTATTGACATCCTGTATCACAAACAAAATATACAAACATGTTGAAGAACAGGACATTCTTACGGAACAACAAAAAGGTTGCCATAGAAATCACAGGGGATGCAATGAACAGTTACTCATAGATTCAGTCATTCTACGGCAAGCACACAAACAACACAGAAACATACACATGGCATATATAGACTACAGAAAAGCATTCGACAGTGTTCCACACAGTTGGCTGCTACATATTCTACACATGTACAAAATACATCCATCACTCATTGCATTCTTCGAAAACACTATGCAGCACTGGAGAACAACACTACATCTCAGGGTTAGTAACACTTCCATACAAACAAACGAAATATTCATTAGGCGAGGAATTTTTCAAGGAGATTCCTTGAGTCCTCTCTGGTTCTGCCTAGCCCTGAATCCATTATCCAACATGTTAAACAACACGCAATACGGCTACAATATCAGACACGAAAAAACAACACAGTTTACACTCTCACATCTCATGTACATGGACGACATAAAACTTTATGCATCCACACAAAAACAACTTCATCAACTCCTACAAATCACACATTCATACACTAAGGACATACAAATGGAGTTTGGCCTAGACAAATGCAAAAAACTTCACATAGAAAAAGGAATCCTGAAGAAAGAAGATTTTGCACTTGGAAATGGAGACGTTATTGAATCCATGGAAGAGGGCGAGTTCTACAAGTACTTAGGATTCCAACAGGCCAAACTAACAGAACATACACAAATAAAGCAACGATTAATTAAAGAATACCAAAGTAGGTTAAACGCTATACTTAGAACACAGTTAAATGCAAAACACACAGTTAAAGCAATAAACACATATGTCATCCCAGTACTCACATACTCTTTTGGAGTTATACATTGGACTCACACAGATCTCGAGCAACTCCAAAGGAAAACAAGAACAACACTTACTAAGCATAAACAACATCATCCTAAATCCGCCACAGAAAGATTAACCCTTCCACGTAAAGAAGGCGGACGTGGCCTGATTGACATAGTTAACCTTCACTACAAACAAATACAGTCACTGCGAGAGTTTTTCTACAAGAAACAAGAAACATCACAGTTACATAAAGCAGTAACTCTAGCAGACTCAAATAACACACCATTAAACTTACACTCACAACATACAGACATGACACAACATATAAAAAGCATAGACAACATTAAGCAATCATGGGCTCAAAAGGCTCTCCATGGCAGGCATCCTTACGACCTGGCCCAGGATTTTGTTGACAAAACTGCGTCAAACAGCTGGTTAGATCGGGGATGCCTCTTTGGGGAGACGGAAGGATTCATGATTGCCATACAGGATCAGGTCATAAATACTAAAAACTACAGAAAACACATACTCAAAGATACAACACTCACAAATGACACATGCAGAAAATGTCACATCATGCCAGAAACTATACAACACATCACTTCTGGTTGCAAGCTCTTGGCACAGACAGATTACTTACATAGACACAATCAAGTAGCAAATATAATACACCAAGAGCTTGCAAAGAAACACAAATTGGCAGACATCCACGAACCATACTACAAGTATATTCCACAGACAGTATTGGAAAATAACACGCACAAAATGTATTACGACAGAGCCATAATCACAGATAAAACAATTTACCACAACAGACCAGACATCACACTCATTGACAAACACAATAAAATCACATACATTATAGACATAGCCATTCCAAACACTCACAATGTACAAAACACATGCACTGAAAAAATTAGCAAGTACACAGAACTTGCCCAGGAAATAAGGCATCTGTGGAGGATGGATAGAGACGTTATTGTACCTGTTGTTCTCTCCTGTATACAGGTGTGATACCACACACACTACACAAAAGCCTGGGAACATTAGAATTGAGTTGAAATACATACATCGCACTACAGAAGACACTATATGGAATACATGCCATATTGTTAGGAAATTCCTGAATACAGACACTGACACACTTATTAAATTTTAGTTCTGTTTTGGTTGCTATGCCTTGACTCTGGTTTGGCATAGTACACAGTCACTGGTGTGAACCGAGTAATCCACTAAACCCAACACAATAATAATAATAATTATAAACCACAGGTGTCAAACGAATATAACTCACAAAACCCAACATAATAATAATTAGTGTGGCTTAGATAAAAAGAATGCATATACAAGGGCTGTTCGGAAAGTTCACGGCCTGAAATAGAACAACAAACAAAATAATGTTAGAACTTTTTTTATTTTTCAATGTAGTCTCCTTTGTTAGCAATGCACTTATTCCAGCGATGTTGTAGCTTTTTTATGCCATCATAATAGGTCGATTTGTCAAGGTGTGCAAAATACTCGTTCACTTCAGAGATGACTTCGTCATTTGAGTGGAATCTCTTTCCAACCAAGAATTTTTTTAGGTTTGGAAAAAGGTGGAAGTCACTGGGGGCCAAATCAGATGAGTACGGTGGATGTGGAACTAATTGGAAGCAAAGTTCATTTATCTTTTGTTCAGTGATTCTGGCAGAATGTGCAGGTGCATTATCGTGGTGGAACAGAATCTTTTTTTTCTTCAAGTGTGGCCTCTTTTCTTTGATTTCTTTCTTCAGTTTTTCCAAAAGTTTACAGTAATAGACAGCATTGATGGTCTTTCCTCTTTCTAGGTACAGTAGAACCCCTCTAATCCGTCACCTTTGGGACTGGGGGTATGGCAGAATGCAAAAAAGGTCGGATTATCAGAAAAAAGTAAAATAAACAATCTTCCCTTTGTCCAGTCTTTGTAGTAATGCTAATTTTTCATTTAATGAAAGAGTAACGTGTTTACGTTTCACTCCTGACATGTTGAAAACGCACACAAAACTGTACATGTACACACAATGTAAAACATATACTGTAACGAACACAGAAAAACGCCACGGATGAGGAGTCACTGACAAGTCGAAACAAGTTTCTCAACTCCGACCACGGTCGGATTAACCGAGGGTGGAGTAGAGGGGTTCTACTGTAGTCAATAAAGATGATGCCTTTAGCATCCCAAAAAACCGAGGCCATCACTTTCCCTGCTGATGGAACTGTGTTTGCCTTCTTTGGTGGTGGTGAACTGTGGTGTTTCCATTGCTTCAACTATTCTTTTGTTTTAGGAGTGTAGTAATGGAATCATGTTTTGTCAGTAGTCACAAACTGATGCAAGAAATCCTATGGGCTTTTCTGGTAGAAGTCCAACACTCTGACATCAAAGTGCAAACACGTTTTTGCTTGGTGGTCAGCAGATGCGACACCCACCTTGCTAAGACCTTCGTCATATCCAAATTTTTGGTTAGGATGTGGTGCACTCAGTTGACAGAGATGCCTATTGTCTCAGCTATCTTATGCGTTTTCAAACAGCAATCTGCTAACACCAAATTGTGAACTTTGTTGATATTTTCTTCAGTGACAGCAGTTGATAGCCGTCCGCTACAAGGGTTATCTTCCACACTCTCTCTGCCAGATTTAAAAAGGGCTGTCCATTTTTTCATAGTGGTGTACAAAGGAGCAGACTCTCCCAAAACTTCATCCATGTCAGCTTTGTTTTGAGATGGTGTCAAACCTTTTTTCGTCAGGTATTTTATGACCACATGAGTCTCCGTCTTTTCCATTTTTGACAAAGCATGTGAACACTGACTATCTGCTAAGCTGTCGTGGCAAAACTTTACGACAAATCAAGTGGAAATTGGTATTGTATCTTTAGCAAAGATGGCTGAATTATTCCTGCCAAAAATTAAATTGATCACAGCGCCGCATATAGGCAAAGCTGCAAACTTTCCGAACAGCCCTCGTACATGTGTATGACACTCTGGAGAAAATTGTGATTATTGCAAGTGAATACTTTTGTGAATTTTTCATATTTTCAGAAGATACTTTTAATAATTTCAGATTAAAAATAACTGTTTGATAAACCATAGTTGAGTCATTCACAGGCCAAATTGATTAACTCCTTTAGTTATGCAAAAAATGTAAAAATAATTTATTCTTGGAATAATTGTTATTTTATAAAATTATTGGATAAAAGCTATGCTTGTAATAATGTGTTTTAAAATGTTTATTTAAATTTAAATTTTAAAACTAATTTTAAAAAATAATGCATATTTTATCAATTTCTCTACTTTACTTTGTGGAGTCAATTACTTTGACAAACGAGCAACTAAAATTGAAGTTAAAATTAGGATATAACTTGCTCATCACATATTTCAAATTGCTTTTCAAATGAATATAAATTTATTATAATGTAATAAATGTAATGTACTGTACATTTGATAATGATTAGTTTAAAATTGTTAATATAGATGAAAGACCATTACCAGAAGATAGAATATCAAGGCTTGGACAAGGGAATTTAGTAATTAAATCTGTTACTGTAGAAGATACAGGAGTATATATTTGTTCAGCAACTGTAAAAGATCCAAAAACTGATACAGTTCAAGTAATTTCACAAAAATCTACACTCATAGTATATGGTGTGTATAAATTTTAATTTTTATAATATTTTGTATTTTTATAATTATTTTGTATTAGTATATTTTTGACTAATGAAATTATATGATTAAAAAGAGTATAATACATAGTTGAAAAAATAATATGCTAATATGCTTTTTCTATTATAATAATACTTTTGTTGATTAATATTTGATCTCAGATGAAAGAAATTTTACATATATATCAGGGTCTAGGTAAAACTTATAGTCCAGGCCTCAAAAAAAAAAAAAATAAGAATCACTAATTTTTTTTTGTTTTATTACTTTTGAACATTATTCTTGGATAAGATGTTAATGTTACTAGCTCACATTGTTCACTATGCACTTGAAAGTTTTATTTAACTATATATAAACTTACAAATCTATCTATGGATATTTGTCATATTGGGCCCTAGGCACTTTCCTAGTTTATTTAGACTCCAGCCTTCTTAATATTTTACTTATTTTTATTTGTATGCAAAACAAAATGAATATTAAATTAATCATATAAGACACAATTGATATTTTTACATGTAGAATATTAATTGTATTTGTTGATACACTAATGCTTTCATATTCTTATTGAATCATTCTATCATGTAGAAATAAAAGAATTCTCTAACATTTGTATTTCAGTTTCATAAAATTATTATTGTTTTATAAAGTATAAAAAAAAAATGATTATTTTTAATGCTATCTGCATTCATATAAATAAGGAAAATAATTTTTATTTCTAATACTTTAAATTATCTATATTTTATATAAATGAAATTAGTAAAATTATTATTAGTTTTTCATTACACAGATTTTTTAAAATTTATATTTAATTATTCTTCTCCAAGTAAATTAATGTTTTTAATGTAAAATTAATCTGATCTAAAATTTGGTATTAATTTAAAAAAACCATTAAATGTAAGCTCATATTTATAAATAATAACAGAAAAGAATATTATTAGATAAAATGTAGAATTTAATCAAGTTTTTTATTATACAGTTTCTCTAATCTGAAGTTCACTTAATCTGAATCAATTTTCTTCATTTTAATGCTAGATGATCCAGCCAAAAACAAAAAGAAATCATAGATTACAACATGATAACTTTCTAACATTAATATTTACTATGTATATTTATGTTGAAATACATGTGAATACGGGGGCGTAAGGCTCCCGTTCAATTGTCAGGATAATATGTCAGGCGAGTGTAAGGAGAGTTGATTGGGGTCGACAATAAGGTGAAGGGCGAGACCGAGTAAAGGAGTCTACCATTTTTCTTTAACATAAAAAAATAACAATTTATTCAAGAAGCAAAATGGACAAAAACTACACAAAGCTCGTTTCTATACCGACCTAGAGAGAGTTTCACAGTGCTTTCATACCTCTTATAGCCGTCCACTTTGACGATTCTGAACGTGGATGCCTTTAAAATATCGATCGCGAATTAAGCGCTCATTTAATTCGAGGTTCATCAGAGATCGGAATTCGGCTGGTTCGGAAGATCGGCGCGATGTTGTTAATCCTGCGTTCGGTAATAGACTCCCCTGAGAGGGGGTAAGAATGGCCTTTTATCCGTTTTAGTGGGGAATTTCCACCACGTGATCGGATGTACATAGGTTAGGGGTTATAGGTGTTCCAGGGATCTATAACAAATGACGACATTTAGATGCTAACTATCAACCTTTTTGCAAGATGAGATGCAAGTTCTGCAAAGAACAATGGATGTTGCTAGTTATGACCGGAAAGTTTACACAATCCCGGGCAAGATCGTTTTTTCTACTAGGGCGTTACATAAATGAAAGTTTAATTAACAATTTTGTTAATAAAATGAGCGATAATTTCCGTCACCAAAATTCTGGATTTCACATACATAGTAAATATTAATTTTACAAAGTTTACAATTATACATTTCCATATATTAAAAACATTTCCAGAATGCATTCTGGAAATGTTTTTAACATATACATACAGAAATGTATAATTGTAAATGTATAGATAAATGATTAAACTTATATAATTTTTGTTATTTTGCAACTTTTGTTATAAAAATTTGCAACTTTTGTTATAAAATATCAAAGTTGCAAATTTTTATATGTTTAAGTCTACACAAGAAGCATAAATTTTGATTTTCAAGCACACTGCATATCAGTGCAAAGCAATTCAATTAATGTAACCATTAAAAGCAGTGCACTGTCTAGATGTGCTGTTACTAACATTAATTCATCACATGTTGGTTATTGCTTATGCTATCATAACTTTTTGTATTCAGGGGTTATATTATTTAAATGAGAGTGTTGTCAACAAGTATTTTGGCACAAGATACTCATTCAGAAATGATATATTTAATAATATACTTTTAAATTATAGTATATATCAACAGTGGGCAACCCCCAGCCCACAAAGTTTCTATTCAGCGAGATCTTTAGAAGAAATTATAAATAAATATTTTTTGACGTAATTCATCTAGTTTAAATTGAATATTATTCTCTGAAGCATTGTGGCAGCAATGACAGGAAAAAATAAGGGAGTCATTTCCTTATTTAAACTTATTTTATACAAAAATGGGAGAACAGAATTTTTCTAAATTATTTATCTCATTGCATCATCCATCAAGAAAAATCTATGTGCAAAAGCTACGCAATTATAAAATGTAATTTCTGTTGTATCCAACTACATAAACACAATAAAAAATCAGCATAAGTCACTGAGAATTTCGAGAATTGCTAATTGATCTTGAAAGTGAATATACAGATGTTTAACATTATTGCCCAGTCCATTGGCTCTCGAGAGCAACTGTATTAAGCAAATTTTATAATTTGAAACATGCAATTAAACTATTCATGGATATGAAAGGAATTCCCATTAAAGCATTAAATGATTAGAAATGGTTGTCAGACCTGCATTCTTTGTTGATATTACAGGACACCTGAATGTTTTAAGTGAAGCCTTACTAAAGTAAAATCAAAATTATATGGACATATTAAAGCTTTTAGAAGTAAACTCCATTTGTAGCAATCCCATATAGAGAAAAATAATCTTTTTCATTTTCCATCATTATCTAATTATCGTGACAAATATAATCTTCAATATTTTGTTAAAAAAATCAAAGATCTCTATTCAGAATTTGATAGACATTTTCAAGATTTCGACAAGAAAATATATTTATTTTTAATTATTTAACTCACCCATTTCCATCACTGAAATCGAAACTGTTCCGGAAAAATTTCAAATGGAATTATTGGATCTCAAAGAGGGTATGTTTGTAAGAAAATTTTAATTTTACACCTGTCCGTGAGTTTTATAGAAATCTGTCCGCTGAAGAATTTCCAAATTTAGTTGATAATGCGAAATATATTTACTCTTTATTTGGCTCAACATATCAATGTGAACAGCTGTTCTCCAAGATGAAGTACTTTAACTTGAAGTACAGAACAAAAATAACCGATACACATTTAAAAAAACAACTTGTGTTTAAGCACCACACAAATTGAACCAAATATTGAAATGGTAACAAAATCTTTGCAGCACCAGATGTCACATTAAATAAATACTTTTTTCACTTATACACGTATATTTATTGTTTTATGATTAATAGTTATTTTTCCAATTTGTAATTTTTCGAAAACAATAAGAGAAATAAATATAGTAATTTATAAGTTTTTTTCTGTCCGATGGTTCTTTTTATTTTTTATTANATTAATAGTTATTTTTCCAATTTGTAATTTTTCGAAAACAATAAGAGAAATAAATATAGTAATTTATAAGTTTTTTTCTGTCCGATGGTTCTTTTTATTTTTTATTATTTGAAGACAATTCGTCCAAGTAGGAATCACCATTTATTAGTATTCTGCATTTTAGATGATACAATTTTGGCGACCAACCTTCCTTTCTAGGCTACTAGCCGCCAAAATTTTTTTAAAAAGTCCTTTAAAAAAACAAAAAAAACACTTCCAATTAAAAATACAAAAATTTTCTAAAATCGGAACTGGTGGTTTTCGAATGTCTTTCCTTTTACCATCTGTAACCTTTGGGGTGTTTCGGCCTTTTATCCACAGACAAGTGAGCGCTGGAAAATGTAGATAATAAAGGTTCCCCCTGGTGACGATACTTTACAGTCAAAATTCATAAGTTTTTTTCGTCCAATGGTTCTTTTTATTTTTTATTATTTGAAGACTATTCGTCCAAGTAGGAATCACCATTTATTAGTTTTCTGCATTTTAGACGATTAATTGGAAGTGTTTTTTTGTGTTTTTTTAAAGGACTTTTTAAAAAAATTTTGGCGGCTAGTAGCCTAGAAAGGAAGGTTGGTCGCTGAAATTGTATCATCTAAAATGCAGAAAACTAATAAATGGTGATTCCTACTTGGACGAATTATCTTCAAATAATAAAAAATATAGTATTTATTTATTTATTTATTTATTTCATATTTGCAGACTAAAAAATTACAGGTCACAAGAAAGTGTCAATTAACTACTACGGCTCACTGAAAAAACATACAGATATATATATATATATATATATATATATATATCTATCACAATTCTATA